ACAAAGATCAAATAAAAAAAAAAAAAAAAAAAAAAAAAAAAAAAAAAAAAAAAAAAAAAAAAAAAAAAAAAAAAAGAAAGAAAAACATAACCAAAAAACTTAAGAGGAAGAAAGACTAGTCTCATATTATAGAATCAAAAAACCCAGGAAAATCTGAAATTATCAAATTTCTATATAAAGGAGAAATATATAACTGTATATTTCTCTAATGATTTTTATAACAACAGAAAAATGAACAGTACCCTTGTATTAATATTTAGTTGTTTATTTCAATTTTGATATTTAAAAAATATTTCTACCTGGATACTTTTACCATGCTATTTCTAACATTTTCATATAGCATATATTTAATTTTAAATCTAGAAATACCCATAACAAACACACAAACAATCTCTGTTCTAAGTAATGTCCACCTGTTTTTCTGTCTTCACTGTTCCCTTGATATTTTTCAGGGGTAACAAGCAGTCAAAGAACCTGGGTGGCTTCTCCGTAGTTCCTTCTTAATTTTATGATTTTATCGAGTTGTCTTTGGTACATTCAGTTAAAAAGGTTCCTTCTAATTCTGTCTTTTGTTTCATATCAAATAGAAAAAAAAAAAAATACCTGTTTATAAAGCCAACCGCGTCTGACCACTGGTGCATTAGGATTCCTTTTAATTGAATTTGACCTCTTTCCAAAATTATGAACTTTTTTTGAAGCTCGTGAAGTCTAAATAGAAAAAGAGTATGACAAAAAATCTGGTATTAATGCCTAGATATTTGAGCTTATTTTCCTCTTCAAATTTAATCTCTTTTCAGATTTTCCCAAGACTTGCAGGACTTAAATCTTTTCAGATAAATTACTAAAATTTTACTTTTGCTGGGTTAGTTTTCGGAAATATAAGGATTCTGCATCAAAAATTTCCCCCCAGGATACCACAAGTTTTACAATCTTTCCTTTAAAATCTGGATAGGACATACAATTTTTAGAAAGACAGAGTATGTGGCAGTATTTTGTCCGACCTGCTATATAAAACGAATAGATATTGAGTAAAAACTGTTAACAAATCTTTAAGAATAAACCAAATGATATAACTTTCCCCTTTATATTTGCATTTAATAGTGCAGGTTCAATTAAAGTTAACAGCACTCAGTCTGAGGAGAAATATACAGATATTAAATATAAACAAATATATCACATCAAGTCAAAACAAGACTGGAAGGATCTGCTTAATGTGAAATAGCGATTTTTTTTTTTTTTTTAATGGACAACTCTGAACTTAAATGATACCAGACAAATGGAGTTTACTGGATTCTTCAAAGTACGCATAAGGATATATAATCTTTAAAAATATTGCTATGGTTATTACCATGAAGTTTTATTTTGGTAGGAATCGTAGTGGTGACCAACAAACATGAAAACAATGAAGCTATAAAGTAACATATAATTATCTCTTGCTTTCCTACTTGTAGAGAAATCTAGCATACGTCATTAGAATTTTGTTTTTTGTGAAGCTTTTATTAGTATATAAGAGAATTTTAAGGCCCAATATCAACAAAATTCTTCTTAAAGCATATTTTCTTGATAGATTTTAATTTACTTTCAAACAGATAATGCTTAAAAACATTATAAAACTCAAAGACACAAAAAGATACACAAGGATCAATGTACTTCTCACTCTTGGGCTCTCGCACCCAGCTAACTGCACTTGCAACTCTGTGGGGCAACCAATATCATTGTGTGTATGTGTGTGTTTATCTATCTAAAATAATTGTTCTCATGGTTTTGAATATTTTTCTGAAATGACAGCATATTTTAATATCCACTCTTTTGTTTCATTATTTCTTGGAGCTCACTATATAAACAGAATGCCTATTTACCCATACTCTTGTCAATATGTTGTGTTATGAAACGTTCTGACCTTTGGAAATCCGCAGGTGAAAATGGTATCTTTTTCTGGTTTTAAATAATATTTTTCATATTATGGATGACGCTGAGCATCTTTTTTCATCTATTTAACAGTAAATTCCATTTTCTTTACTGAGAACTGATTTTATATAATTTGTCCATTTCCAAACTGGCTCATAAACTCTTTTCTTATTGATTCAAAGCACTTCTTTAATTATAAGGAAATTATTCTTTAATTGCTATATGAATTGCAGATACTCTGCATGGATAATAATCACATGTGGCTGAATTTCTCATTATTGGGTTTTATGTCGTATTTAGAAAGCCCATCTGCATTCTGAGCTCTTTTTTTTTTCTTAAATCTTCCATTTTTTTTCCCCTAGTGCTTTTACAGTTTTGCTTTTAACATTTCAACAACTGATCCATGTAGAGAATTTTTGGTGTAAAGTATGAGGAATGGATTCAACTTTCTTTTTTTTTTTTTTTTCTTTTTGAGGCGGAGTTTCACTCATGTTACCCAGGCTGGAGTGCAATGGCGCGATCTCGGCTCACCGCAACCTCCGTCTCCTGGGTTCAGGCAATTCTCCTGCCTCAGCCTCCTGAGTAGCTGGGATTACAGGCACGCGCCACCATGCCCAGCTCATTTTTTGTAGTTTTAGTAGAGACGGGGTTTCACCGTGTTGACCAGGATGGTCTCGATCTCTTGACCTCGTGATCCACCCACCTCAGCCTCCCAAAGTGCTGGGATTACAGGCTTGAGCCACCGCGCCCGGCCGGATTCAACTTTCTTTCAAGACAATGACCTAGTGGCCCTCAATCCATTCATCAATTTCTCCAGATTTTAATTAAAATATGCTCATAAAGCATTATGCTCAGCCTGTTGGATTTATGTTATTAATAATCAAAAATTATTTATATTATTTGAAAATTTATATTCATTTATAATCTCCTAACAAAATTTTATTTCAAAAACCTTAACAGGCATTTAAAATGCTATTATTATAATTATCTATTTCCTTATAATAAACATAATCTACTATTACAATGGTTTTGCTGAAAAATGTTTTCTCAATCTAGGTATTCTTATAGTCAGAAAATTTGATTTCTAGGCCACTACATTACTTTTCACCTTTAAAACTTAAGTGTGTCCACTTTCTCTCAAAAATATCATTGTATTTCTAACATTATTCTAAATTTAAAAATGTAAGTAATTGAATTACAATCTTATTACTTTATATTCCAGCCTATTGCTACTTATATCTCATGTAATAATAAAAATGTATGATTATTCTATAATTCTAAGTCCATTATGAGTAATGGTATAGATACTGTTTACTCCTTATCAATAATTAATAGAAAGTAAAATAACTTACTCTGCCTACAGGGCTCATTGGATGCACTGCATAATCTGAAGTCACATTATAGTTAGAAGCTTCATTTATCATACTTATAGGTCGTTCCTTCTTTTCTTCAGATGTCATGGTTGCAACAGTCCTGAAAATACATGTCAAAATGCTAGAACTTGCTGGGTATGTAACCTGCTTTATAATAACACTTTCCTAGAGTTAACAATGCGAGTGTCCTACTTTTTCAAAGTAGTTCGATCCTAGTTACTCTAGAGTCAGGCCTTAATACTTACAACAACTTTAAATACAGCTAACACTTTTCCTAAGCCAAAAATATTTATTATTACCATGTTTATTTACTTTTATTTTTAAAGACAAGAGTCTCATTCTGTTACTCAGGCTGGAGTGCAGTGGTGTGATTTTGGCTCACTGCAGAATCTGCCTTGCAGGTTCAACTGATTCTCCTGCCACAGACTCCTCAGTAGCTGGGACTACAGGCACATGCCATCACACCCGGCTAATATTTGTATTTTTTAAGTACAGCCAGGGTTTCACCATCTTGGCTAGGCTGGTCTCCAATGCCTGACCTCAAGTGATTTGCTCACCTAGGCCTCCCAAAGTGCTGGGATTACAGGCATAAGCCACCACCCCCGGCCTATCATGTTTATTTTTAATAGGCATTACTGCAGATATTCTACTTCATCATCCAACTAAAAATTAAAAATGAATTATAAGATTATTCTGATATTACAAACAATAACAATTTCAGTAACTTATTCTGTGAAGTTTTATCGTATGATATATTTGTACACATATTTCATTTGATGCTTATAAAACTCTTGTAAAATAGAAATTACCACTATCTGATTTAAGGATGAGAAAACTGGGCTCAAATTAGTTTAATAATCTAACCAAGTTTACATAGTTTCTATATGCTTGCATCCTGAGCTCTAGAGCTTACTGAGCTTGAAGTACTATCAAAACAGCTTCTGAAATTACATTCCTCATGAAAAAATATTTAAGTCAGATTTCTGGATGACACATTATGTTATATTTGACTACAAATGTCCAGATAAGAAAGCTGTTAAATTGTACTGACTGAAATATAAATAACAGCAATTTCAATGCTAACCCTATTTTAAATACATTCCATGAACTCTTTACTTACTGTTCATTCACTACAAAAATACAGTTGTCCTGTGATGGTTGTCCCGTGACTGGATGTTTGCAGGTCACTTTCCTTTCATTATGGCTGAAACAAAAAAAAAAAAAAAAAAAAAAAAGAACATGTAGGTATTTAAATGACCATTTTGTTATTGTAACATTAAAGTTGGTCTACAAAAGAAATGAAATTCAACTCCCAGCCCCCACTCCTTTTTTTTTTTTTGAGATGAAACTTTGTTCTTGTCTCCCAGGCTGGAGTGCAATGGTATGATCTCACTGTAACCTCCATCTCCTGGGTTCAAGCAATTCTCCTGCCTCAGCCTCCTGAGTAGTTGGGATTATCGGTACCTACCACCATACCCAGATAATTTCCTATATTGACAGGGTTTTACCATGTTGGTCAGTTGGTCTTGAACTCCTGACCTCAGGTGATCCACCCACCTCAGCCTCCCAAAGTGCTAGGATTATAGGCGTGAGCCACTGTGACAGCTGCCAGCCCTTTGAGATTCCTAAATATATCTTTCCTACTACTATCTATTGGGAGTGTATATTTGTGTAAATGTTACCTCCATTTTTACAAAAAAAGTTAAATGCATTCCTTCTCAGTTTGCCTCAGCCTCGCAGGTAGCTGGGATTACAGGCATGCACTACCACACCTCACTAATTTTGTAGTTTTAGTAGAGATAGGGTTTCACTATGTTGGTCAGGCTGGTCTTGAACTCCTGACCTCAGGTGATCCACCCACCTTGGCCTCCCAAAGTGTTGAGATTACAGGTATGAGCCACTGCACCTGGCCAAATTCAGATCTTGATCTAAAGCATACCTATGGTCACAGAACAAACTAATACCCACCTTGTCTCTGTAGTCACTGTGGCCTAGTAGGAAGTCCAAACCTTTCTAAATACGATGCTAGTGTTTACCTACTCTTACTTCCAGACTTTCCTCAAGGATATTTTAATGAGTAGGTCTAGACAAGTGGTTCTCAATTGGGTGATTCTGCCTCCCAGGAGAACATTTGGCAATCCCTGGTAACATTTTGAATGTCACAACTGGGGAGATGTTACTGGTATCTAGTGGGTAGAGGCCAGGGTGCTGCTAATTTTACAATGCAGAGCAGAGCCCTCCACATAAAATAAACCTCCAGAAACGTCAACAGTACTGAGGGTGGGAAGCCCTGCACTAGGCTATGATAACCCTTAAAATAACTGAGTCTACTGAATAAGGAAAGCAATTATTTACTAACATTAATAATACATATTTCTGTATTTCTCTAAACACAACAGAGGTTGAAGAAAACAATGGCAGTTGAGAGCACAGGTTCTGAAATCAGACTACATAGGTTTGAATCCCAGCACCTCCACCTAACAGATAGGTGATCTTTGGCAACTTACTTTACCTCTCTGTGTCTCAACTGAATAAAGGCAGCTACGTCACAGGTTATTCCTTAATTTAACCAACATACATATGTACATACACACAAATATTTTTATAAATATAACATCTATATAGATATATATCTATATATAGTAGTCCTCCCTTATCTGTGGTTTCGCTTTCCATGGTTTCGGTTACCCTCAGTCAATTGCTGTCCAAAAATATATTAGAAAATCCCAGAAATAAACAATTCATAAGTTTTAAATTGTGAGCCATTCTGAGTAGCGTGATGAAATCTCTCTCCATCCAGTTCTGTCCCATCTATAATGTGAATCATCCCTTTGACCAGTGTCTCTAAACTGTCGATGCTATCTGCCCCGTTAGCTACTTAATAATTGGCTTGGTTCTCAGATTAACTGTTGAGGTATTGCAATTTTTGTGTTCAAACAACCCTTATTTTACTTAATAAACCCCCCGCCCAAAGTACAAGACCAGTGATACTTGCATGCTGTTACATTTTTATTAGTTAAGGCAGTTAATCTTTTACTGTGCCTAATTTTTTCAAAAACAGAGTAAGGACGTCTTGCTAGGTTGCCCAGTCTGGCCTCAAACTCTTGGGCTCACGTGATCTTCCTACTTTGGTTTCCCAAAGTGCTGGGATTACAGGCATGAGTCAGCATATCTGGCCCAGTGTGCCTAATTGATAAATTAAAATGTATCATAAAGCAGTGAAAAAAACATAACATAAAAATCCTTGCCCTCATGGAAATTACTTTATAATGGAGATGTGGAAAATAATAAGCACTTGATAAAGGTTATTTACAACTATTACGAACTGCAGGATACTGAGTATATGTCATTATTACATTAGTATTTGGCCAACTATTTAAATTAAAAGTTTAACTTTGTGCCTACCCAAATACAGTCACGTGTCACTTAACTACGGTGAAACATTTTTGTTTGTTTCATCATGCTCAACCCCAAACATGGTGATACATTTTAAAATACATTAGGTGATTTCACAGTTGTGTGAACATCAGAGAGCATATGTACGCAAACCTGGTTGGTACCGCCTACTATAAACCTAGGCTAAATAGTGGAGCTTATTGCTTCTAGGCTAAAAATGGTATGGCATGTTACTGTATTGAATACTACAGGCCACTGCAATATAAAGTATTTGTGTATCTAAATATATCTAAACATAGAAAAGGAAGATTAAAAATATGGTCTTATGCCTACAATCCCAGCACCTTAAGGGGCCAAGGCCGGTGGATCACTTGAGGCCAGGAGTTTGAGATCAGCCTGGACAACATGATGAAACTCTATCTCTACTAAAAATACAGACATTAGCTGGCCATAGTGGTGCATGCCTGTAATCCCAGCTACTCTGGTGGCTGCGGCACCCCACTGGACTCCAGTCAGGGCAACAGAGTAAGACTCTGTCTCAAAAAAAAAAAATGTATGGTATTAAAGATTAGAAATGGGACATGTTTACAGGGCACTTATCATAAATGAAGCTTACAGGTCTGAAAGTTGCTCTAGGTGAGTCAGTGAGTATGCAGAGACTGAATGTGAAAGCCTAAGGCATTACTGTACACTACTGTAGACTTTATAAGCACTGTACACTTAGGCTACATCAAATTTATTAAAAATATTTTTAAAAACTTTAAATTTATAAAAATATTTTTCTTTCAATTAATTAAGCTTAGCTTATTGTAACTTTATAAAATTTTAATTTTTAAAATTTCTTTATTCTTTTTTTTTTTTTTTCAGAGACAGAATGTCACTCTATCACCCAGGCCATAGTGCAGTGGTGTGAACACAGCTCTCTGCAGCCTCGACCTCCCAAGTTCATGCAGTCCTCAGTCTCTCAAAGAGCTGAACTACAGGTGCATGTGACCACACCCACCTAATTTTTAAAATAGCTACTTGGGAGGCTGAAGGAGGAGGATTGTTTGATTCCAGGAGTTTGAGGCTGCAGTGGGCTATGATTACCACCCCACTCCAGCCTGGGCAACAGAGCGAGACCTTGCCTTTCTTTAAAAAAAAAAAAAAAAAGGACTCCGTTTTTCTAGTGAGTTCAAGGCTAAAGAAAACAAGCTCAATTTACTGTTCATGCTCTTCTAAAGGTCAGAATAAAACGAATGAATGCCCCACTCTCGCCTTTTCTTTCTTTTTTTAAAAAAGAAAAGAAACCAAGAAATTGATAAATAGCAAGACAGATTGCTTGTGCTTTGGCATTATGTCTTTTTCCTATTTGTTACCAGAGTTTTAATCTTTTGATTAATCAGAAGACTGAATGAAAGGCCTGATACTTTAAAGCTTCTATGAAACCATTATTTCATTTAATAATAATTTGGTTGTGAAGGATTTTAAGATAACTAAATCAATTATTAATAATAATTTGGTTGTGGAGGATTTTAAGATGACTAATAAAATGGTATATATATTTCCATCAAATCATATAACATTAAAATGACATGCCTGCTGGAGATAAAATATAAATTCATTAGTCAACCTAATTCTTTTCCAATCATATGTATTTTATAAACCAAATAATGAATTATGTGGGAAACTACTGGTACACCTGGGCTGCAATGAACTTTTAAGCAGACATCTTAGTTCTGAGCTTTCTGGAAGTTTAGATAAAAAAAGAAAGCTAAAGCACACAGCTCCTATAAACTATTTATGGAAGGAAGAACAATTTACCAGGTTTGAATCAACTTTAAGTAAAAGGTTTCTTCTATATAAATAACTAACTGTATGACGGCACTCTGAAAATAGGGGAAGCTGATGTTTGTCTCCCTTTCCAGGGTAATGGAAGATATTTTTCGTAGCGTCTACATTGCTTTGCTTTTCCGTCATCAGGAGACATATAAAGGAGGATGCCAATGGCATTCCTTAAAAAACATAACCATGCATGCACTCTTTCTCATCAAAATAAATGTATAAAGTGCACATTTCAATATAAAACCCAATAAAAATATGCAATTAGAAAAAAAAGACTTGTTTGTTAATATGGTGTTTCGAATTTCTAGTTAAAATAATAAAAGCCCATTAAAGTGAGGGGAATATTTCATTCTTTTTTGTTTGTTTTTTGTCTTTTATTAAGGACTATTTCATTCTTAATGGAGAGTTACTTCAAATTATAAACTAAAGTATTCAATGCAATTAAGTACCTACAGAAAAAAGAAATTTGGTATTAAAATCCCTGTTATCCAATAATAAGACCAAAACCACACAGAACTTCATTGAAGGCAAAAATCTTTAATCTGATATCTATAGGTAAGGTACCCCGATTAGAAGTTCCTTAAAATATCAGAATTTGATTTTTTACAGAAATGAATCCAGTACTAAATGTACTAGATTTAAAAATTTAAAAATTCAAGCAATGTTACATATAACAAGTATTATTTTAAAATCAGGAATCGTTCCTTTCCATACTTGGTTTAAAGAATATATCTCGTTTATACACAGTAAATCATAACCATGCATATAGTAAATGAGATATATTCTTTAAACCAAGTATGAAAAGAAACTATTCCTGATTTTTAAATAATACTTAGGATTTCAGAGAGATGATGACTCAGGATTGCTTAATACAGCCGCACTGCCATTTATTGGGTTGCTCTATGCTTTTTAGTTAGGCATCCTCACAAGCCCAAGCTGGCTGCTGTATCACAAAGTAATACTCTGAACCACAAAGTCCAGAGT